GGAGCTAGGAAGACATTGATGCAGTTCTGGAAGGATTACAACATCGATGATGGCATCAAGAAGCTTGCTTGGTGATGTCACCAAGGAGTGCGTGAATGACATCCGGAAGAAGTCACTGAAGAGGTTTGCCCACGAAGTCAAAGGATTTGCCACGGGCGAGGAAGTTGCAAAAATCAACAAGGCTGTGGATAAAATGGCAAATAACTTTAACCTGGGTGTGGATGAGGGTGACATGAGGAGCTCCCAGAGGTGGTTCCTGAGGAATTGACTAATGAGGAGTTGTCGGACCTGGGACACATACACATAGCTGATGAAGAGGCAAGAGAAAAGGAAACCATGGGGGAAGAAAAAGAACCCCAAGAAGATTCACAGTGAAGGGCTTAGCAGAAGCTTCTGAAGACCTCAACGAGCTCCTTAAGATGTTTAAAGCATGGACCACAGCACCAAAAGGTTTTCATCCGTAGAGAGGAATGTTCATGGCTCATGAGCAAATCCATGATGGAAAAAACAAACGAACCAGGCAAACCACCATGGACATATTTCTGAAAAGAGTGCCACTCCTCAGGAAGAGCATCGGGCGGGTCCTTCAGGAGCTACTCCGGAGGAAGCACTGCTGCCCCAGGAGAGGAGAGCTCCCTGTGTGTCAGTGCCCCGAAGGCCTCCCGGTGGACGAGACGTGGACGTGGAGACAGTGATGCTGATGGTCCCGCCCGCGTAGGCCTAGGCCAATGTGTGTGTGTGTGCCTTAGTTTTTAACGAAAAAGCTGAAAATGTAATAAAACATTTGAAAATAGAAAAAAGCTTATGGAATACAGATATAAAGAAAGAAAATATTTTTGTACAGCTGTACAATGTGTTTGTGTTTTAAGCAAAGTATTATTATAAAAGAGTCAAAAAGTTAAAAAAATTAAACGTTTGTAAAGTAAAATGTTACAGTAAGCTAAGGTTAATTTACTATTGAAGAAAGAAAATTTTTTTAATAAATTTCGTGCAGCCCAAGTGTACAGAGTTTATCAAGTCTACAGCAGTGCGCAGTCGTGTCCTCGGCCTGCGCGCTCACTCACACTCACTCACTGAGCCCCGGAGCAGCTGCCAGTCCTGCAGTCTCCGTTCACGGCAGTGCCCTCCGCAGGTGGCACTTTTGTCTTTTCTATTCTATTTTACTGTATCTTTTCTATGTGTAGATAGGTTTAGATACATGAGAACCATGTGTTACAGTTTCCTACAATATTCAGTTCAGCAACATGCTGTACAGGGTTGTAGTCTGGGAGGGACAGGCTAGCCCACACAGCCCAGTTGTGCCGCAGGCTACACCATGCAGGGTTGTGTAAGTCAGTCTGTGACGTTCGCACACACCTCGGTCTTGTGTCTAGCCTCATTCCTCTGTTCTCTAGTTCTAATCAGTTCTCTTGGATGTTCTAAATAGGTGCTCATTTCATTTGCATTATCGTGGGCAAATAATAAGAGTTGGGTCTTCTCTTTTTTAATAGACAGATGTCATTTCTTTATTCTCATGCTTTCGCATTGCAGGGTCTTCAACGCTGTTGAACAGCAGCATCAGGCCCCTCGTTACGTTCCTGACGGCAATAGGAACACCTCCAGGGCTTTCCCACTCATTTCCGTTTCCACAGCAACCGGAGCGTATTCCAGGCGATGGTCAGACTTCAGATGCTTTCTAGTCTCTCCTCTGCCTCAGTCTCCACACAGCACACAGCACAGCTGGCTCTCCACTCCCATCTCCCCACTCTTCCTTCCTGGTTCCGTGACCCCACACGGCGGTGGTCTGAAGCCTGTCTACGCTGGGGAGCACTCTACAAAAAAGAGTACAAAAAATTATGCATACCAAATTAAGTTCAAAAATGAGCATTTATTTAGAAATAATCACAGTTAACACATCTAAAAGGCTGATTAACACCACAAACGTCAAATGTTGTGATTTTTCTAGACATTGAGATGTTTGTGGTATAAATCCAGAAAATCAACATAACACTTGGTATTAACTGCCTGAAATGCCCCTGTGATACCGTTTCCCCTGAATGATCTGCTGTGTCCTCCTTGAGCACTTCTTCAGGCGACAATTCCATCATATTTCATCCACAGACAACAGGAAGATACTCCGGTATGTCTTCTAGCAAGATTGATTGAATTTTTAAAATTTCTGATCTCACTGGTATTCACAACGTATCGCTGGTTATGTCATGTACATTTTTAAGTCACTGTAAACTTGGGAAATGCACTATCGAGTCCCTTCCATGCACAAGCTTCCATTTTCCTGTGAAGTGATGAAGCCTTGAAGATCCTCAAAGATCTCTGATGCGATGCCACTCAGCCAGCGTGTGGCCCAGGTCCTGCAGTGTGTGTGATGAGGTCACTCGAGCTCGTGGTCAGTGTGAAGTGTCACATCGGGGAGAAACATGTCTCTTCCCCACATGCTCATTTCACTCTCTTCTCTCCCTTAAGTGAGTTATCCAACAACTCAAGAGCCTGCTCGTTACTTCTGTTGACAGTGGTCTCTTCCTCTTCATGAACAGTGGGATCTGGAAAATTTGCTGTTACGTTTTGTGTCTCGATGTCTGAATAATGTCTATTGATTTCAGTGCTCATCTCTAGTAATTTCATTTCCTGTTTCATTATCTAAAACGTCTCTCAGAACTTTAACAAATAAATTTAAAGGTGGCAAAAGATGGTACCCTTCCTATTTGTCCAATTCTGGAAGGGATCATTTCTTTCTACATTGGAATGTCACAGAACCTCTGTGCAAATGCCGTTAGGACGGCAGATTCCTACCTTGGATCTTCCACGGCGAGATGCCAGGAGACGCCCCGGCCGCCCTGCGCGCCTGCCAGAGGGGAGCAGGTGGAGGAGACGCTGGAGTGAAAGGGGCTTATTGAGTCCAAGGCCCCAGGCCCTTCTTCCTCCTCACCTGTCCCCCGGCTCCCACACCTGCTGTGGGTCTTTCCTGTTGGTCAGCTTCTGCTTATAGGAACGCTGGCCCCACCCGGCCTCCTCTGCTGCCTTATTTTCTCCAAAGTTCTATGGCCACAGGATACCCTGGGGTCCCCCTCATTATAACGTGTGTGGGTCTCCTCCTCCTTGGAGTGGAGGTTGAGCCCAGGAGGGCAGGGGTTCCTTCTGCCTGCTTGTCACCTCGTGCCTGGAACAGCACCTGGCATGCGGTAGGTGCCCAGTGAATACTTGTCGAATGCACCAGCATGCCCAGTGGGGCCTGGAGCCGGGTGTCGGCTGGCACTGGCCTGCCTGGGCATGCTGCTGTGCGCTCCATGGTGACAAGACCTGTTCTTGTAGGGAGGGGGACCGGTAACCTCAACCGCGGGCGCCTCCACTCAGGCTTTCTGCCTACCCAGCAGCTTCTAATTTGGGTGCGTGGTTGGGAGATGCTCTCGGCTGTCACCCTGCTTTTGGGGGTCAGCTCCCTGCCTCTCCCACACGGTCATGAAGTGCAGCTGGAGGCGGGGCCCCTCTCCCATCCCTGGGCTGGAGGTGCCACAGCTGAGTGGCTGGGCCCCCATTCTGGCTGCCATCCCTGTTACCTAGACGTCCAGGCGCAGAGGTCAGGCCAGGCCTGGGCCGGGCAGCCCAGGGAGCTCAGTGGGCCTGCCCCGTGGGCCCTGGGCATGGCTGATGTGGACTCCTCGGCAGGGCGGACAGGAGATCACTGCAGTGCCTCCTGCTGCAGCCTCTTGAGGAGCGATGACAGAATATAAGGGGCTTCATCTCCGTCGTGCTGGTCACTGTCCTGAGAGGGGTGTGGGCTGCAGGCGCCACAGGGCAGGAGGGGTGTCCGGGGCACAACAGCTTGGTCTTCCTCCATCTGGACGGGACCTGTCGCTGGGGCTCCAGGGGCGTGGCAGGGCTGGGCCTGTCTGGTGGCCCTGGGGGTGGCCCAGGCAGGTGATGCAGCGAGAGAGACCCAGTGTTCCAGTTCAGAGCTCACGTCTGGGGGCCACCTGCCCGGGGCTTCCTGACTCCCTGGCAGGTTTGGCAGGAAATAGAACCTCCGCGGCTGCAGCCCGTCCCGAGAGCTGTCCTGGGCTGGGGGCAGGCAGGCCAGACCCGGAGCCTCCGAGGCCCCCAGAGAGGCCTGTGCAGCCATGGGCCCTGCGGAGGCCCCCTCACACTGCTGCTCCTCGGCCCTGGGGACAGCCTAGCCGGCGAGGGTCCTGGCTGCTCACGCTGGGCGGGTAGGAGGGGAAGGGCCTGCCTGTCCCCTGTGGGGATCTGCTCACACCTGGGCGAGGTGAGGAGGGGCCTGGGCTCTGGGGACACTCGCTCCGGGCCCAGGGGCACCGTGGGGGAACTCCTCCGGTTGTGCTGAAAGTAAGCAGACTGCGTTAACTTCTCCACCAGGCCCTTGGGCCCGCACAAGGTGGGGCCCGTGGTGTCCTCGTGGCTCCTGCGTGGCCGCCCTGGCCTGACACGGAGCACAACCCTCCAGGCTGCTGATCCTGTGTCCACAGGGTCGGCCCTGACACCCAGCCCTGGCCTGGTTTGCCGAAGCTTCTTAGAGCAGAAGAGGGGATGGAAGAGGGGAAGGCCCTGGGGGCTCCCCACTATGCACTGCCCCAAGAGGGTGAATCGGGAGAGGACTGTGCCCTTGAGGCCTCCTGAGGGGGGCAGGTCCCACTTCATCCTCCGAAGCTCCAGCATCGAGGCCTGCAGGTGCCTGAGCACGGCGTCGTCCTCCAGGCCCCGGGCTGGGACAGCCTGTCCTGCAGGAACTCCCGCAGGCCTTCCAGGGGCAGCTGCAGGAGGCGTTCTAGGAGAGGGGTGCGCGTCGGGCCGGGGGCCCCCATCACCCGGGCTCCCTTGTGTGGATGGCTGCTGGGTTCTGCTGTGCCCAGGAGGGCCCCGGGCAGTGCCCACCCCCTTGCTGCCGCTTCTCCAGAGGATGCCCTGCCCAGGTGGGGCAGGAGCAGTGGGCCACACACCCCGGCCACACTCGGGCTCCCACGGACTTGCTCACTTCTCTGCACCTTGAGGATGGTGAGGCTGTGGCAGTGAGCACGCGCTCACCCTCCAGGATGCAGGTGTCCCAGAGCCTCAGGGTGAGTGAGAAGGGGGTCTGTGGGGACAGCAGGCAGGGGAGGGGCAGCTGAGCAGGGCCCAGCACAGGGTGAGAACCCCCATCTGCCCCTGGTGCCTGCAGCTGACAAGTCCTGGAGCTCCTCATCTGGGTGGACTCATCCCAGTGGGGTCATGGCTACTGGACGAAGGTGCTCCCCGCCAGGACACTCAGGGACCTAAGGGGCTGGCCCACACGACTGCTGACCTGGGGGCAACAGGGACTGCCCCCCACCTGGCAGGAAGAACCCGAAGGAGCAAGATGCTGGCTGCAGAGTGGGCCAAGGGCTCGTCCACACCCCAGGCTGACCCGGCCTTCCCTCCGGGAGCTGAGGTGGAAACAGCCCGTCCCCGGGGCCTGGGGGTCCATCCTCCTGGAGGAGGGCTCTGGGCTTCCCCAGGAGCGGTCCTGGCCCCATCCGCCCCTCGAGCAGGGCCTGGCTTGTCTGGGGTGGGGCTGAGCTCGGCCCTCCCCAGACACTGGGGGCAGGGAGCGTTTTGGGTCGGGGTCTCCCTGGCAGCCTCACCCGGTCAGGGAAGCACTGTAGGAACCACCTGGCGGTATAAATGCCAGTGGACATCTGCCCCTCGTCCTCACGGAAGGCCAGAGTGTGCTCAGGGCCTGCCGCCCCGGCGCAAACCCCCCTACTACAGGGCCCTCTGCAGCCGCTCCCAGGGGCCGGGTAGACACACTTCCCGAAGCCCAGCTCTGGCCCAACTGGCCCCTGGCCCCACAGGATCAGGAAAATGAAACCGAACTCTCTCAGCAGCAGGAGGGCCAGGCCCATCTCCCCTGTCCCCACCACTGGGACAGCGCCTGGGGATGAGGCGGGGATGCTGCTACTCACCATGTGCTTCTTCAATTTTGGGAGAGCTTTGCTGAGAACATGGTCATGATGGGCCTGGAACCGTACCAGTTTTGGGAACCCCGGAATGAAGAAACCTGAGATGCCCCCAGGCCCCAGCGGATCAGAACCTGCTCCCAGCGGGGTGGGGGTGGGGCACTGGCAGGTGCCCCCCGCTGGACCGAAGCCCTCCTCCCCGCCAGGGACCCTGCCCTGAGTCCACGGCCTTCCACGCCCTTGCTGGACACCCTCTTCCCAGAGAGCAGGACTGCCTTTAGGGCCCGGGGTGGCCAGGGGCAGAGGACCGCCTCACAGAGGCTCAGCTCTGCTGGTGCCCTGTGCTGAGGGTCAGGCAGACAGCCTGGCACCACCCCCATTCCCGCTCCCCACAGTGGCCACAGCGGGAGCATGGGGGTCCCAGCACTGAGGAGCAGGGCATGCGGCCACGGGGTGGGTGACGGGAGTGTGCGCGGCCACCTCCTGGGCTCGGAGTGAGGCTGGGGGCACGCAGGAGGGGCAATGCTGCCATCTGGGCTTCGTCTGGCCATGGGCCTGGAGGGTGGCCGGGCAGGCGGCAGGATGTGAGGCAGGACCAGCAGAGATGTAAGAATCCTCTGGATGAGGACAGGCCCAGGCAGTGGCTACAGGACCCTGAGGGCAGCCTGGGGAGGCGGGGCCCTTCTCTGATGGGGAGATGGACTGGGTGGGGTCCCCGGGAAGCCCCACCGCTGGGAGAGCTCTGCAGGGAGGCTGTCCTGGGCTCTGTCACGTCCAGTGGCCCACAGAGGCCACCTACCGTGCATGGCGTGCCTCTCGCCGGTCATCAGTTGGGCCAGCGCCCAGAAGGCGTCCTCCTCACCCAGCAACATGAGCAGGATGGCCGCGACCTGGCTCATGCCCTGGCAGTAGCCCACCTCCTACAAGGGTCAGACACGCGTGGAAGGACGACCCGGAGCCCGCCTCTGTGCCCTCCCCTGCACTCCCATTTCAGCTCCACGAGCTCCAGACAGACCCCTGCCCGGCCCAGGCTCTCTGGGCCCAGAGGGTGGAGGTGAGGACGGCGGGGACCACTGAGATTCTAGGCCACAGGGAGAGCCGCTGACCAGCTCAGGCACCAGCACCACGGCAGCCCCGTGCCCGAGCTCTGGGGTCCCCTTCTCAGATGAGGGAGAGGGGCCTCTGAGAGGTGCCAGGGCAATGGGGGCTACCGAGGTCTGGAGACCCCGCTAAGACACAGGCCAGGAGCCTGACTGGGCGCAGGAGCACGGCTGGGCCAGACCCCGCTGTGGGCAGCCCATGGGGTCGCTCAGTGGGTGCTCCTCGGGGAAACCTTCATCCCTGCTGAGTTTCTGATGAATAACATGGTGTCTTCAGGATCCAACTCCAATCTGATGACAACAGTGACGCTCACGTGGCCCCACACTGACTAGTAACACATGCCCGCTGAGACGAGCGGCTGGCATCCTCGCCAAGCTTCTGGGCTGGGGCAGCCCCAGGGGTGAGCTCCCCTTTCCAGTTCTGAACAGTGGAGTCTGCGTCCAGCCTTCTCCGACTCAGTTTAGATGAGCCGCCCCCTCGCTGCATCTCTGTGACCCTGTGAGCTGGGGCCTGACCCCTGTGTCCTGTCTGGTCACGGGTACTCGATTTAAAGGCAAGGACGGCGAGGGACCCTAGGCCTGGGGCAGGATACTCATGGGGTTGTACACGGAATAGGCCGCGAGGACGTGGAACAGGGCTTGCTGCCTAGGAAAGGACGACAGGGGGCTGTGCTGATGCTGTGGGTCTCGTTTTGTCTGACAAACGCTGACGACAGAACAGTTGTGGTTAAGAAGTCAGCCAAGAAGCCGTGACCTCTTCAGAGCACCTCAGGGTTTAACAATATTTTGGGGTACAGTCTACATACGAGGAAATGCAGATATCTCAGTCGTACGGTTTGATGAGTTTTCATCTTCACCCTCGTGTTTTAGTTTGCATACATCAAAGTTCAGTCTTTCACCATGCAACGTTATTCTGTTTGCTGCTGTCACCTCCCCTGTCCTACAGGACCTCTGTGTCCCCCCGGGACCCCTGCATCTCCCCTGGGACCCCCGTGTCCCCCGAGACCCGCAGGGAGCCCACTTGCCCAGTGGCCTCACTTGATGCCATAGTGATCCTGGAACATGATGTGGCTTCTGAAGGTGCGGTTCACATCCAGGTCAATCTGTTTGAGGTCCTGAGAGAAGAGCCTGGCCTGCTCCTTCAGCCTCTGTGGGCGGAACTGGGAGGAGGAGCCAGCATCAGAAACACAGAACAGGACCTGCCACCAACGTCATCCTGGACAGAGTGAGCGCTCTGGCTGGAACGTGAGTTTCCTGCGGGAACCTCATTCTGCTGCTTGTGTCTGAAGCCAGGGAGGGTCCCAACTGCCCACCATGCCCGCGGGGCCCACGTCCTGCCCAGCAGCCCTGGGAAGGGGACTGCCGATGGTCAACCCGTGGGCTCCTCCAAGGCCCAGACCCCCACCAGTTAAATAGGCAGGTCCAGGCCACCTGACTACTGCTCCCCACCCTGCATGGGGCCTGTCCAGGGCAACAGCGCCTGCCCGGGCTCTGAGCTTGCCCCCGAGGCTGCTCCCTGGAACCTGCTCCTGGGGCCCTGGCACCTCTCAGGGCCCTGGGGGAGGCAGGAGGGCAGCTCGGCCTCTGCTCCCCGACGCTTGCCTAAGTCCTAGAACCAGACACAAGGCGAGGCCGCTCTCTCTGCGCCCTCCATCTTCACCCACCCGCTCATTCTGTTCACCGCACGGGAATCTGGCAGCAGCCCACCCGCCGTCCCCACCCAGGGCCCTGAGGATGGGAGGGCTGCGGGGGCTCCAGGCCCATCTGCGGCACGGGCTCCCATCACCCTGATGCTAAACCACCTGGGGGGAGCTGGGCCCCACGGCCCTGACACCCCACTTTGGCCCCTGGTTATGGAGGCAGAGAAGCCTCCTTGGGGTTCCACACGGCTGCACTGATGTGCATGTCCCCACTTTAAAGCTCTGGCTCACATGGAGGAACACTCGACCTCTGCGTGTTCTCCGGACCCAGCCACCCTTCCCGTCACTTTACTTGTCCTGACTCGCAGGTGTTTGCAGAACGTCTTGACTTTTCTAAGGCTGTGATCATTTCACCTGCAAGTGCAGATAATTTTGTGTCTTCTTTTTATCTGAGTGACAGTTTCTTCTATTTTCTTGTCTGATTGTAGGAGTTAAAACTGCCAGAACAATTCTGAGTACAGTGGTGACAGCAGCCGTCTCTGTCTGTTCTTCTGAGGTTGATGGAAACGGCTTCAGCATTTCACGGCCCCTCATGATACTCGCTGTTGGTTTTTGTTCAATAGATTTAGAAATAGTTTATTTCTCCTCTTATATTACTTATGATTTTTTACGATTTAGAAATGGCTCATGAACTGTGTTCACCAGCTTTCTGAATGCGCTGATGTCACGAGATGACGTTTCCCTTTTCATGTGTCCGCGTGCTATTTGGTCCCCTCAGTCTGGTTCCGGAAGGCACCGTCCGGGTGTGAGGGTCATTCCTCTAATGCCGCACTTCATCACACCTGCTAGGATCACATCTAGACGTGTGCGTCCAGAGCGACTGTGAAATGGACTGGCAGGTTTCCTCTGGCGCCCTTTACGAGGTTCTGGAAGTGGGGCCGAAGCCTCACGAAAATGGAGCTTCCCTTCCCCCGA